CGTCATACAAACGAATCGTGAAAATCCTTTGTAGAAGCCACAATACGTCGATTCGCTTTCGTTTTTCTCGGCATAATATTTCGTATCTTTCATCATATTCGCCGACCACCGCCTGCTGGAGGGGTGGTTACAATTAATGAATAAATGACATGCACCCATTTGCATTAATCATGTTTTCAAGTAATAATCAACGGGAACATTTGTGAAAATTAGATGTTTTCTCACAATTATAACCCCGGTTAACTACTGAATTTATCATTCGTACGATCTTAATGTCTGTCATAAGAGGAAATGTATGATTAATACTTTCACATGAAAGTCGCTTCAGATGTTCTAAAATTGTGAGTTTTGAAAAGTTACCCCTTTAATTGAATGAAATATTATCGAGAAAACTTGTAGGAATGTAGAATTTTTAGAAGAATAATTTAAGGCAGCAACATTTCTTGTAGGTTCAAAGTTGATTGATTTTTCTAAATTATGAGAAAAATAATTTTTACTCTAATTTACTATTAATAAAATTAAATTTTATTCTATAGTTCAGCATTAATTTTAGATGGGAAATATTTGTTCTATTCTTGTCTTGTTAATGTAGCAACATTGAAGTGCCCGGATGCTTGCAATTCAATCGAATTCCGTGATAGATCTTAACTGGTCATTTGATCCGAGTTCAAATGAATTTCTCCCGTCTCGAGTTGTAGCATTATAGCAGAGCTAGGCAAGAACTAAAATTTACCCTAAAACCTAGATAGATACTTTATTACCCACATACTTGCATGTAAAATAATCTTTGCACTGTTAATTAATTTTGCTGAAATTAATACCAAAGTTAGTTAAAGTCTAGGTACTAGTATACATACTAGTATATTACGAGTATGTACATATAAATAGTTCGTAAACATCAAGGAGTTTGTATTATAGCACTTTTTTGGCTTCATCATTGGCTTTTAAACAAGTTTAATAATCAAATGTTTAGAAAATCGATATGCATGATTATGTATACACTAAGGACCACAGTTTTAATTTTTTAATTAAATGCATTAAATATACATTTATTGTACGTACCCACCTAAAAATAAAAATTCTTTTACAATCAATAAATCAACATTGGCTGGAAATATGTTCAATACTTTCATGAAACTTTTGAAAAATAAAAACACTTACAAACTTACAAAGAATCAAAAATATCTATCCGAACGCAATGAAGCAATTCCCGGCTTTCTTGAGAAACACATTTAACTTCGCCACATCATTACCTCCCTTTGCCAAGATATGTGTAGGTATTATAAAATGTTCTTTGAAATATCATTTAGTTTCCGAATGGGTATCTGAGGTAATTTGGAACAGTCTGATGCGGTATATTGCGCTGTTCCTTTTTTAACCTCGAGCGCTTCTCTGAAGCAACTAGAATATATAGATATAGGTATATAGAGGTGTAAGTCCTCCATATTACATGCATAATAGGTAATATTAAGAAGAAATCGATGAACTGTTATAAAGAGAGTGTCAGTATAAGAAGTCTAAAATAAGGTGATAATTAATCTTTACTCAAATTATGGACAATTAGACAACTCACCTATACAGTCAATAATTTTTTAGAGTTTATAAAGTGCTAAAATTCTTCCAATGAAGACTTTTGACTTTTAAATCAGACATGTGGGTAAATTACAAGCATCAATTGTGCCTATCGTAAATTAGTTCGCCGTACGATCAATTAAATATTTACAATCTGTGTGACAGTCCAATAAATTTCTCCGCGATATTAACTTGTAGGTAATTTAGGACACTGGATATACAGTATGTAATAATTCATCTCTTGAAACATGAGAAACACGTGTATTTTATGAAAGTCTCTCGACGTTACCGTTGCATTCCGAAAACGTCTGCTATTTGTGCAAGAAATATTGTTCAGATGCTCTTATAATCGCTTTACGGAATTTATGGCTACTTCTGAAATAAGCATTCGAAAGGTGATTTCGTTTTTATGCTACAAATTAAATATAACTCTCGTGATTTAGCTAAATTCATTAAAAATATCAGATCTACTAAGTACCCTCAAAATTGTTACTGATGTAGTTTTCTTAGTATTCCTATGTAGTCCTATGTAGTCCTATGTCCGTTATCATTCGTTGAAGAGGTCGAAGACCGTCCGGAACAAGACAAGTTTTTAGCGATCTCCTGATTGTCTTTAAAAGTTTTCTACCTTTCGTAAATATGGGTTTTTGATAAAACACAGTAACATTAAGCATTTGCATCGATTCGGCCCACTAAATTCCGTTCAAAACCCAAAATATGAGAGAAACTCTTTGTTCAGTATTTTTGTCAATTGCAAAATTCGCACTACTGAGATGAACTAACTCAATCAGCTGCTACAACCAAATTGATTGAGATATCTCTCTAATTTTTTGCTTGCTAATTAAGAACAATCTTACCTACATACAGAAACTTGAAATAGTTAAAAATATTAAGTGCAGGTAAATCAGAATTTCCGGGTACTTTTTTGTCAGAAGGTAGTATTTCCAAATTTATCTACTATCAAAAACTTCGGATTAAATTAATGAAAACTTGATGTAGTAAGTTGAAATTGTTAATTTTTTTTCTTAAGAATAAAGAAACTCAGATTTAGTATTTCTATACTTTCGTATGCTTAAACATTTCAGACTATAATAGAGTAAAAAGTAAATCCTCACGGTTTTCTCCACGCCAATGCGCTAATGTAACAAACGAGATTATTTGGAGCTTAGGTCCGGCTCGACTCGGCACAGTTGATGTAGTCGTAAAATAGAAGACGAGACTGGAAAGGAAGTGACGTCATCTGGACTATCTGGATGGATATTTGCTCTTATTCCTGAACAACTAGCAAAGATAATTCGTATTATTCCGCATCTCGTGAATTCATTCTAGAGACGTCGTTTTTGTTCTATTATTAGATTATTATTATTATAGATTTTAAGAGCTCATAGCCGACGTAATTTTAATAATGCAGCGCCAGTTCGCAAATGGCTTGGCGTGTCCATAAAAAGCATGCGAATTTATAATAAAATTACGCCTATAACCTGTAATGGGGGATTTTAGTTTATAATTAATTATTTGAAGCACATACAGTTTTGTAATATACCTAATTTTATGAAGAAAATTTCTTCTAATAAACCGGCGCTAATTTCATTCATTTTAAACACTTATTAGCCCCCGCTAATCATCTAAAAGAACTATACAGGTAGATGCAAAATTGTTTAATTGCAATTCAGGCTATGAGTGCAGCAACTTCCGTAAGTCTTGTATAAAGGAAAAAGAAATTTTAAAAGATATTGTGGGATTGCAAGTTTCTCACTTTAATGACTGCTATTTTAATAATCTTTCTTTGTTCACCTGCACTTACGCATGTACATTTTTATTAAAAGTAATATTAGGTATTCTCTTATTTATCAGTTTATTAATTGAAGAGAATAAATTATATGCAACTGTAAAAATACAAGATTTTCATAGAAAATAACCGGATGAATATTCATACAGCCGGTTAAAAAATTCTACCCTTTCATTTCTTGCTCTTGGCTTAAGGCTCGATCCCAATCGGAATCTTCCAGTATCTTCGCTTTGATGTTTTTTGATTAAGTTGTGTAGCCGGATTTGTAATTGAAATCGAAACTATGGCTCGGTTGGCAAATACGTAATCTGTATGCAAGATGGGCGTCTTCGCTATCTGTAATACCTACCACGTTTTGGTCTTAATGAGTGTGAATTTCCCGCGTTTTGCCTATCCGTTCGAATCAAATTTTCGCAACAAAAACCCCATTAGGATAGATTTCGAATTGCCATGTGTCATTTCAGTCATGTGCATTATTTATATGCATTTGTGTGGAGGACAAAAATAAATTTTACTCAAATAATCAACATTCACTCGGTCGGGGAAACGTCCGATACTCCTAATAGCATTCGACGCAATAAATTTATAATTACGCTCACGTAACCAGAGCAATACGAGCGGAAAATCGAAATGAAAAATTGTACAGGTTGCAATCAGGCGAGGGGCAAGGAGGAGGTGAGGGCAGAAAGATTTTTCGATTGAAAATGACACGATGGCACGTCAGGAGCAGCTCCTAGCTTGCTTTTGTACTTTCGCTAATGAAAAGCCCGGAGAATCAAAACACTCCTCTGTCGACGATTACTTTTGATAAACCAGGAAAACCGATTCCGACAAATCCAAATCACAGAGGCGTTCGAAATAATTATTATTCTAACTACTCATTAAAAACATATTGTTGTAATGAAAATATACCGATTACTGACCTACAAATAATTAAGTTAATGCTATAGGTACTACTACCAAACAGTCTTTAACATGTAGTCTTAAAACTTTTATAAAATTTAAATACAACAATTTATTTATAAAACATGTTACTCTCTATTGTATACCCGCCACTGTGAGAGACTTCTTGTAGTTCATCGAGTGTTTTTCTGATCTATCCGACGACATGACAAAGAGCATGATCTCGCAGAAACGATAACAATAATTCATCAGTTTTTATTGTATGTCCCGGAAGATTATTTGAGAAGGTCCTTTCGGAACCAAAATATTCATGTGGGACCCTGATTAGGTAGTTTGTTCTTGGGTGATAAATAGTATGGTCATAGCTTATAGAACATTCCATTAGTAAGAGCTACTTATGGTCGTTACAATTTTATTTTATATTTTTAGTGGAAGTAGAGTTGGGCATCTATCGACTAAATATATATTAATTTCAATTTAAATCCTTAGGGAAGATTTCATGACGCAGAGTTAAAGTGTTATATCTGTAATAATGTTATATATAATAATTACTATTCTTTAACTGTGGCAAATATTTAATAAACTATTCAGTGCCTAAACGATTCGGAAAAAACTTAAATTCGATTTAAAAAAGCACCGAATACACACACCATAACAGTCAATTCCACCTCCTTCTAATTATACTCAACAGCATGCATAGATGTAATGTATGTTGCATAGTTGTTACTTGTTACATATTTCTAAATTTAGCATTTACTTTAAAATCCCTTTACTAAAATTTTATTTTTCTAGAATAGTATTGATTTAAACTTTTTGAATTAACATTTTTTATTTAATTCGCTTTATTAAAATTTCAAAAGCTCCTTAAATTGACAACTGACATTAGCGATTAGAACTACTGTCAGGTTTTTAACAACAACCAATGACAAGTATTGAAATGATACATTCCTGGCTAAATAAAACTTAAATTTATTATCGTAATAATGTTAAAAACAACGTGCAACAGTAAACTTTAAAATTATGGGACTAACCAAAATTACAGTGGGCATTCTAATTTCAATGGTATTGTTTGCAATCTTCTTTACACATGTAGTTAATGTTTTAAGTACATCCCCAATTCAAAAAGAAGTTAACAAAGATCATGTTATTAGTTTTTCGGACTCCTCGGATAATTTACTTTGGATTTTACAAGTAAGTTTAAATAATTGCTAATTGTATTTCATATTAAAATTATTAATTTATTAGGTTGCTTTTATAATATTCATTTTACAATATTAATATGCAAAAGAAAAATCTGCTGACTATTTTGTTTATTTTTTTAATATTTCTGAATTAAATGTTATCTACTTCTTATTGATTAAAAATTGAACTTATTTAAATGAGTGTTGAAATGTATGAATCACTCCTCTATTTTTTAGATTTCAGATATTCATATTAGCTTATTCAGAGATCCAATGAGAATAACAGAATTTAGAGAATTTTGCCATTTAACATTGAATGCCATAAAACCTAGTGTAGTCTTAGCCTCTGGCGATTTAACTGATGCAAAAACCAAAGATTCCATTGGATCGGAGCAGTACGAAGAAGAATGGAAGCATTATAGAGATATTTTAAACGAAAGCAATATTAAAAAGAGGACACTGTGGCTTGATATAAGAGGAAATCATGGTATTTTGTATTGATCACAGGAATTCTATAGAATCACTAATTAATTTTCCTTTCAGATAACTTTAACGTTGGCAGTCCTTTGTCTAAACAGAACTTTTTTACTAATTATTCTATTCAAGGTAGAGATCACCCACGGTCTTATAGGTTCCAAATAAAGAAAAGGAATAATATTTACACTTTTATTGGGATTGATGCTTGCCTGGAGCCTGGTAAGTACTAACTAGTATTAATAGTTTTCAAGGAACGCAAATGATTATATTAAAAAATTAATACCCATCATCATTTCACATATTTCAAGTAACACTAGAATAGGATTTTTTTTTTGAAAAAGGATTGTGCATATTATATGCATATTACTCAAAAAAGTAATTTTATAAAGTCAATATTTTAAGTCAACTTTTTTTACTAATTTACATTCTTTAGTCCTGACTAGTACTGTTTATTGTGCGTTGATATTCTTTTATTTTATTTATATGCGCAGTTTATTGCAGATTTTTTTTGAGAAGGTGAAGTTTATTTTTAAGTTGCAACTATTTTGTTACTGCATTTTTCTGTTAATAGGAATTTTTTTCTATTATAATCATTCTACAGTAATTGAGTTACAAAAAAATTTGCTAATGAATTAATTTAAGCAGCTTTAAATAATTAACATTAATCTATGATTAGATATATTACATAATAACCTTGTTTGCTCTACCATTGCGATCATTTATTGATACAGGATGTTACTCTAGCTGTTACAATGTTTAAATTAATCTGTTACTTTTTGCAAATTAGTTTTTAAAACTAAACTAACCTTATCAAAAAGGTTAATTATTATTAATCGAAATTAAAAGGAGACATCAAAATAAAAATTAATCCAAATTTAACACCTTATTATATCTAAATATAAAAATACATAAGTTTTTATGATTCTCAAAATTTTTAAGAAATGATTGTAAATGAGAAATCCATTGCATTTTTGATTATGAAATTATTATGTACAATATTTGTAACTTGTGATAAGCGTATTTTTCAATATATAATATTTTTGAATCAAAATAATATTTTTACATAAATAAAGAGTATTAAAATCCAAATAAATGATTTCATTGGACAATAAAAAATGTATTTATTTGTAGGGCCCAGAAGACCTTTTAATTTCATAGGACATCTCGATGACGATGAAATTAAAGAAATTCGCTCCCTTATTGAGCAAACTGAATCGCAGCCTAATAACTATACAATCTTTTTCGGCCATTTCCCAACATCTTGCATCTTATCCCCCAGTCAGGATAATATCAGAGATATTATGGGAAGTCACAAGCAGGGTTTGGCATATGTGTGCGGACATTTGCACAAACTCGGTGGTTTGATACCAAAAATGTATACACTTCAAAAGACTGGATTTTTAGAACTAGAGTTGGGCGATTGGAAGGATAACAGGGTGTAAGAATATTTATAAAATAGTGAATTTTGTGAAGTATTTTTCTGCTTCAATTTACAGATATCGATTATTGGCTATTGATCATGGAATATTATCATTTACTGATATGGTACATAGACATTGGCCAGTTGTTTTAATAACCAATCCAAAAGATGCTTTATTTTACAATCCAGCTAGAGAAAATTTAGATATATTGAGAAATTCGACTCATATAAGGTAATATGTTAAAACATGATTTTATTCGTTTATTCAAGAAAAAATAGGAAGCTTAATTAAATGAAAAATTATTCCTCTTTAGAATTTTAGCTTTTTCTTTATCAACCATAGAATATGTAAAAGTTCAAATAAACAATGAAGGCTGGTTACACTGCAAAAAAACGAAAGGCTCCCTTTTTGTTTCGCCTTGGAACCCCAAGAAGTACTTAACAGGACTTCATAGCATAGAGGTAATGAATAATATTATTCTTATTCTCACAATATTTATAAACGATTATAATTTATTTGAAGGTTCTTGTTAGAGACGTTGAAGGAAGGGAGAAATATGAAAACCAATTATTCTCATTAGATGGAACCAAATTGTCTTTTGGAATATTACCAAAAATAGCATTAATGTCAGACGTTAGCATTATAGTATGTACATAAATTTTCCAAACATTGTATTTCTAATACGATATTCTTTTCAGTTCCGGTCAATGTTCTTCATAACATTATGCTTGTCAATAGTTCCCTTATTTGCTATTAGATATATTCACAAATTAGTGGCAGGTCAGTACGTTTCTTTATGTTTTTTTACGTTATGTACGGGTTAAAAACTAAATACTAATTGACAAAATTATGATATGAACAATGTAAGTGCCTATAGTTTCACAAATGTTCATTAAATAATGAGCCATTAATCATTCGTCAGAATACAAGTTATGAATAATTATTGGCCCATTTTTTGTAATTGGGTAAATTTGTAATAAAGAGTATATTTTGCAGGTGGAAAGATGATAAAACCGAAACTAAGACAATCTTGTTGTTTTTCTCTCCTTCAAAAGGTGTGGGTCATGTGCACTATTGATAGAATGTTTTGGCCTATAGTTTTGTATCCAATATATTTGGCTGTGGGACCTTGGACTATCGGTTACATAGTCGAAGACCATCTTGGGTCTGTTTTCGCCTGGGGAATATTGGTAAACAATGCTTATTTACCAGGAGCGTTCACTTACGTATATGGTTTCATACAAGTAAGGAAATTTTACTAGATTTTGTCTACTTAAGGATAAGTAATCATTTATATCTAATGGTCAATTTTATTTTTAGTTAATCACGTTCCAAATTCCCATAACGTTCATTGTAGCCAAGACAGTATACTTTAGGTAATATTTAATTTTTTAATACTAATAAAATATTTGGCTTGTAACTAAACGTGATATTTTTGCAGGTTTCTGGAAATAACCGTAAAGACGGGAAAAGGGCTATCTCTGAAAAACAAAATAGTGTTTCATTTTCCCTTTTCCGTTGTATTTGTTATGCAAGTTATAATGGCCTATTTGTTTTGGCTTGCATACGGTACAACGGCATTCTTATTGGGGCCTTTACGAACATGGTCGCTAATTTTAGCAGCGGTTCTGTATTGGCAAGCATTGAACCTGCCTGAAAAATGTACAAGGTAAATATGCATAAAATGACAGGGTTAATTTAAATATAAATGTATTATTTTTTACAGGAAAGCAGCCGAGATTTGGTACGTTTCTCCGTCAAGTTCCGCTGCTAATCAGGATAACATTAACCGTTCTTCATTAGAAAAGAGCAATTAAAAATTCTTAGAAGATATTGAACGATATTTCAGTATGACTGATGTAATTCTAGATAGATTTTTTTTTCTATTCAATTCTTCCTATGTGATTTAAAGTCAAAGATATATTTATTTTTACGTGTAAATAAACCAAATACTATGCAATGATAATAACCGGTAGATGGCGCCTTGTAATACTTCTGAAAATTCGGTATATTTATATGTATGTTATGGGTAAAGTTAGATAAACGATCAAATCTAGGTTTACCTAGGTAAGGTAAGGTACCTACCCTACCCATGCTTCTTAGGTATTTTGCACTTTACACAGGTAAACCTAGGCTTAGTCGTTTATCTAGCTTTATCTGTAACATATCAAATTTAATTATTGAGAAACCAAAAAAAAAAGCTTTATAACATATAATATAAAAATATCTACATTTAAAAATATTTTTACACCTCTCTAGGTACTAAAGGTAAGCACATATTGTAGTAAGAATTTTTATCCCAGAAAGTTGCATTTTTCCAACCGCACCATCCTTTACTTTGTATTGTATGCAGATCTTCATCGCCTGTATAGTGTGGATCCAAAATTAAAAATTTAATTTCGCCTGTTTGTTGATTATAATCAACTCCTAATATTGTATGTGCCAAAACACCGCCGCCTTAAAATCAAATAATTCGCTAATAAAATAAAATTTTCTATGGAATCAAAAGCACAAACCTATCATCACTGGAGACCCGTGATTCTGAAAGTGGCTTACTAGTTCCGGTCCCTTTGATGGCATGTCCTCTCCGGAACTCACGTACAAAATTTTATTCTCGATTCCCAGTAACGAATTCAATACGAAGTTTACCTCAGTCGAGCCTATCCATTGCCTGGATCCAACGAAACTTGACGGTTTGTCTTTAATGTCGACTAAGCATTGTTGAATTTCTGAGAAAGTCGGAACTTCTCTATTAACGTATCCTAAAAAATAGCTTCGTTGATGATTTAAACCAAGTTTGCAAGTTACAAAAGAAACCTTGAAGTTTGAACCATGAAGCCAAAGTTTGCAGTGATCTGTATGCACAACCCCAACCATTATCATCCATTTTGTTTTGGCAATAATGGAAATATTCGTATTTTCCTTTAACTAATGCCACGACTCCCTCTAAAAACATATTGCTAAATAATCGTTATTCTTAAGAAATATTAATATTTCTTTTTATAAGTAACATTAAACTTAGTGCAATAAACTAATGGTTTGCAGATTTTAAGTGCCTTAACTACGCTTTATATTAAGCCTTACCATTAAGAGTTGGTTTAAGCCCTTCGTGAGGATTAATTAAGGGTCCATTCAAATTCTTCTCAAACATGTACTGATTAGATCTCCTAAAACAAGGAGAATTTGTTTGCAGTCCTAAGTGTTTATGAAGAAGTAGACGACTGGCTTCTAAAATATAATCAACATCATCACAAGAAAAATGTTATTTTAAGTTTGTTTTAAATAAGTTGTACTTACTTAAATCAGATTCAGATTGATCTTTCGCATATAAAACTGTTATGAAATGTTGGCATTCATCAGGATAATAGTGGTAAACTTGATGTACTAAACTTTTTGTTGATGTACTATTTTTTAAGAAGCTCAATAGTTTAGCTTGGTGTATGTTTAATAGTCTCTTAATACTTTCTAGCATAATATTGTATAAATTTTTAATTTTAATGTCATTTTTGACGACAGCAAGACTATCCAGCTCAAGTGTTGTATTAACAACCTTTGTAGGACCTAATAAAGCAATAAATAGGAAATGTATGAAAACATTAGATTTAATTAACTTACGTTTATCTAATATACCAATTGGTGCATGATCCTTAATGAGTTCACTTGATTTATTAGTAGTAAGTTTTCGTAAAATGTTAAATTCTATTACAGTAGGCTTCACATTAGTTACTTTCTTCTTGTTGAAGTCTTCGTTGATATTAAAAGAATCCTCACATAATTCTTTTAGGCTAATGTTATCTTCGACTCCATTAATTTCATTTGCAGAGAAGAAGATGTTTGATTTAAAAATGCCAAAAACCAGTTCGGATGGAATGGTTTTATGTAAAGTTTCAAAGGTTTCTTTAAGAGCATCTTTTGTAAATTCGGATTGGAATGGTATATGTCCTAAAATATATTTTTCTTTAAATGTGAGTATTTGCTTCCAGTATATTTAAATTTTAAAGCTTGCAAAGTACAAAATAAACACAATACATTACCTTTTGTTCGAATATAAAAATATGTATTATTAATGTGTTGCTCTAGAACAACATTGAAAAGGGTTGAAATATATTTGCCACTTTCTTCAATATGTACTTTTAAATCATTCTTTCCTACTACGCCTCCAATAAATACAGCATTAGAAATAATTTCTGGATCATAATGCGAAGCTTCATCAGCAATATTAAATATTCCACAAAAATCAATTCCTGCAGGTAAGCAGTTTTTAAATTCAACATCATTTTGATCAACACAGATTGCCAAAACGACTATTTCAGATTGTGTGGCTATTCCATATAGTTTTCCACAACAGCTGTTACTTGAATTTTTTAGTCTCTGCAAATACAAATAAATTAGTTTGTTAGAAGTCAAATTTATCAAATTTAAAGAATGTGTACAAACCTTTACAACACTTTCAGATATATTTATTTTAGGTTTCATTTTGTTGAAGTTTTTGTCAAAAACAACTTAAAACAAGTTCAAAGTAAAATGCAAGAGATTGGTATAACCTCAAATTTTTAATTGTCAGATTCAAGAGAATCATGTCAACATGACGGATGACGGTACTGAGTACATTAAATGTAAAAGACATATCACGATTGGGTATTTTCAACATTGCAATGTTGGTACATAGTGTCTTGTCGTCCATTTTCATTTTTTATCCGTCAAATTTGACACTAGTGACATTAGTGACCGTGAACCGTAACTTTTTCCGATGTTGTCCGGTGTGATGTTGAATTTTCCAGTTTTTCCGAATGTTTTGGATTGAAGTAAAATAATTTCGGTCGCATATCGCTAGTGCAGGTGCAACTTTCAAAAGATCGCCCCCATTTTATACCGTAAGTACCGAATTCTCCAGCATTCGATCCTCCGCTTCGGCTCGGATGATGAAGTAAACAACCTAGGACAGGACTCGAAATCGATTATATTCCGACATTAACTATCCTGCTACGGGATTTTCGCGAAAATACCGCACGGCGTTTATTAGTTTTTCTAAATATTACAGTCGAAACTGCAAGCAAATAAAGTGAAAATTCTTGTAAGGACCAAGAAGTTCGAATAAAATTTTTCAAATTGTGACTGTGTACACTGTAATTCAGGTTATAGATACTTAAATGCTACTTTTTTTTGGTAACGAATTAATTAAAATTACATTAAATTCGTGTTTTGGAGCATACATTATCGATTTCTTGTATGAATAGTTTGTGTTTGTAGAATTAAATATTCGTAGAAAACTCCTTATTAATGTTTTAATGAAATTTTATACATTCATGTATCACTTATCTTTACATTTGATAATATTTTGGTGTTTATTTTACTATTCTGTACACACTTTAAATTTTGCCACTTCTGAACTTAATTCTATTCCATTAATATCCATAATTAAGCATGCAATTACACTAACAGCAAAAGCACTTGAATAATTTACCAAGGGTCTAAAGAGCCTCGTTAAAATTACTAATCCCGAAAGACATCATGTTAATTAAGGGAAATATATATTAAGAGAAATATCCCTGAATAGCTTATGATTCGAATTTATTACTGATATACTTTATATTTTTTTCAGAAAATTGCATATATGCCGTCCCCACGCCGTTTTTAAAATGGATTCTTCATGGTAAGCGTATCCTATTCAAGCACTCCGATATCTAGGATAAACCACATCAATTTATTGCAGACAATGGCCTTAAATAAACAAGGCTAAAATCATAAGATGTCACGGTCGACCCAATTTTACACCGTCGAGGTGGGCGATACCAAATTCACCATATTGAAGAGATACCAGAACTTGAAGCCCATTGGTTCGGGAGCTCAAGGAATCGTTTGGTAAGAATTTATCTATCGAATTATCCCCCGGATAATGTAAAATAACGTATCGATGGTTTTCAGTGCTGCCGTGGACACCGCAGCCCAACAAAACGTCGCCATCAAAAAGCTCAGTCGACCTTTTCAGAATGTCACTCACGCCAAGAGAGCGTACAGGGAATTCAAGCTCATGAAATTAGTGAACCACAAGAATGTAAGTCAAAAATTTTTACATCAATATGAAATAACCATTTGCAATTTTGTGTTTGTCACTGTACCCAACTAGTATTCTTCTACTAAGTCTCTAATCTTAATCTATATTTTCCCTGCTCGATGATAGCGCGTCTTCCATTGTACTCTATTGCTTTATTTGATTCAGATAATCGGTTTGCTGAACGCCTTCACTCCTCAACGGACGCTCGAGGAATTCCAAGATGTCTACTTAGTCATGGAGTTGATGGACGCCAACCTTTGTCAGGTCATACAAATGGATTTGGACCACGAACGGATGAGTTATCTACTCTATCAGATGCTGTGCGGCATAAAACACTTACATTCCGCCGGGATAATACACAGGGTGAGACATAACAATGTTTTTCTCGGGCGTTATTACAATCAAAATGCATGTAAATACAATTTCAAATGGGGTTTTTGTAGGATTTGAAACCGAGCAACATCGTAGTGAAATCGGATTGTACGTTGAAAATATTGGACTTCGGTCTAGCCAGAACTGCCGGTACTACCTTCATGATGACACCGTACGTGGTGACCAGATATTACAGGGCCCCGGAGGTCATTTTGGGCATGGGGTACACGGAGAACGTGGACATTTGGAGCGTCGGTTGCATCATGGGCGAAATGATACGGGGAGGTGTGCTATTCCCCGGCACCGATCACATAGATCAATGGAATAAGATTATAGGTAACCGACAAATTACTTACCGTTGACTAAACAGCCTTTCAATGCCAATTACTTTCGTTACTAACAAAAAAAAATTGTATCAGAACAACTTGGAACGCCTTCCCAGCAGTTCATGGTGCGACTCCAGCCGACTGTCAGGAACTACGTGGAGAACAGACCGCGATATCCCGGTTTCACGTTCGAGAAACTCTTTCCGGACGTCCTGTTTCCGTCGGATAGCAGCGAGCACAACAAGCTGAAGGCCTGCCAGGCCAGAGATTTGCTCTCGAAGATGCTGGTGATCGATCCCCAGACCAGGATATCAGTCGACGATGCTCTGCTGCATCCGTACATTAACGTGTGGTACGACGAACAGGAGGTTAATGCGGTAAGGAGGAGCTTTAATTACTAGACGTAAATAAATATAAAATCGATGGGATTAAAATAACTAGGACTCTAGACATTGTAGCTGTGGGTGTTGTGTTGCGATGGGCATTTGGCCAATTGTGCTTTTTTGTACATATTTTCTAAACCTTAATACTTTAATCCTTTAAAGTATTCATGATAAATTATTGGTAATTCATTTCTTTACCCTGTGTTAATACTATTCATTGAGTATTAGCAGTCTTTATTAATTTTTATTTGTTTAGCCTGCACCTGGACCGTACGATCACAGTGTAGACGAGAGAGAGCACACAGTGGAGCAATGGAAAGAACTCATCTATCAGGAGGTGATGGAGTATGAGACTTCCCACGGAAGAGCATCTTCCAGTTCTCAGCTGAGCCCAGCCGTTAATAGTGAACCCAACGGTATATCTTAGTCTCTCCGTTAAATAATTAATCGATATCGAGTTTTTTTTGTTTTCGTTTAATTCTTGTGAGTTTCGCTTGATTGTACCTGTCATGTAACGTGTAATTGACGAAAGTCTGTGAATGTTGGTGATGTTAGACTCGAAAGTTTTGTTTCCCGATGGAATTATTAACGTGAAACTTTTGGGTTACAGATTAAGATTAATGAAATGATATTAATATACAGACTTTCCTTTTTTTTATTGGTTCACGTGGAAGATAATTTACCTCGATTTGTTTTAAAGCAACTGGCGTATTTCTGATTGTTAAGGTTTTCATTCATTGTAGACAATAATTGTGAAAATTATCTTCTGTGAGAGTTTGTTTTCGACATTACCTTTTGATTGAACCGAAAGTGCACCTTCGAGCAAGTCAAAATAAAAGGGAAACTGGAAATGAATCTGATACGTCCGATGTTTCAGCATTCTCTTTTGTTTCACTTATTGGAAATTCTAATTGGCATTGTATAGAGGAACTTCTCTTAGAAATCGATGTAACATTAATCCATTTGTGATTTCGAATGAATAAATTTTTTGCATCGATTTCTTCAGTACGAGCGAGAGATGGTATATGTACTGGGTGTAGTAATTAATGCACTGCTAAACAACGTGATTTTATGTATTCTTTTGCAAGTTTATGAGACATTTCTTGGATCCTACAGTGTAACTAGTGAGCTCATTTCTACACCACAATGGTTTCAACACTTCTGGGTTCAATAATTCACTTTTGAACAACAGAATGAAAAATTACAAAGCATTATAAGCAAGGGTACATTGCTATTACTTGCACCGGTGCATGACTATCCGTCATCTCTGTTCAAAACTATCAAAATTGTATTATTTTTTGTTATAAAATTGTATTGATTATTCCGCTAAAAAATATCGCGTTCGTGTTGTAATTGATTCAACCAGAGTATTGACAGTTTTACCGCCCCCCTTGCGATTCACCAAAAAAATTACCATTTTGATTTCTCTTTTGCAGGTTATTGATTTCGAAGCACAAATTCAACTTCATCTCTATTAGTATTTAAATTGTATTTATAATAATAATTGTTAACACCAACGACAGAATAGTTCTTCACGATAAAAAGTTGCAGTTATATAAAAAAAGTGACTAAAGAAACGTTTTGTCTCTGTGTCAGAGCTGGTCGGGTTAAAATTTGTTGTTTGATTACAGTATTAAGTACAGGGTGTATTCAAAATTATGACTAAAAACTCTTGGGATAAATGGAAAATTGTTTAAAAATCTATCAGAGAATCGGTGATCTCTAAACTCTAAAGCATGATCTGTTATAATGACACTGTCCATTTGGAAGATATATCAAATTTATTTATATCCCATAAGTACCTTAAATATATCTCAGCTTTTGGGAATCGCCCTATATTAAATATCACAGGAAGGAAGTAGAATAAACAACAGTAAAATGCAGTTTTGACACATAGATTAAATTAGTCTCCCTTTGTATTGTAATATACTCGTGTCTAATCAGTAGGAGTGTGATATACATTATACATAATAATATATTATATAAAAGGTTAAAAATGCTAGTTTGTAATTATCATCTTTATTTTATTACGTATTTGGACTGAACGAGATTTTAAAAAATGTCGAGTAGAACGTTTTCATCGCGAATTCCTACTTTACTTTTGATGACTGATAGTGCCTTTAGTTTCTTAACTTTCGAATACTTAATTCCGCTTAATAACTAGATATTCAATTTACAATCGGATGGTTTATTAACCGGGTACAATGGAGAGGAATACATTAATTTTTTTAAACTATAATGTAATTTTTAAAGTATAATGTAGAATGCTTATTTTCTGTTGTAATGAATCATTTCATTTATGCTGAAACCGTCTATCACACATCACACTCTCCATTATGCGAAAAAAATTACGTACAAGGTGCTCTAATAGTGCAGTAAATCTCATTTATTTAAGTTCTTTAAAATAATATTTATTAATGCACAATAATTTCAGCTCGTTTTAAGAATTTTATCCTGTTTCCAATCATCCATTCAGTTAATCCTAGGATTTTAAATATGTAGTAGTTTTCATAAGTAATTCATTATTTTGAATCTTATTAGCATCATATACGAGCTATGCAGCATTACTGGCACACTTTGTATTTTCAAAAAAAATGTCGCGAATTGTCCGTTAAACGCCATCAGGATTTTAGGAAACCAGGGTACAAAAATTCAGTCTCGAACAAGTCCATGTAAAGAAAAAAAACTCTTAGTATTCGTTTTACGTGATTAAATCCGAGTTATAAAGGCTTCTTTCTCTTCCTGATCTTCGAAAACCGTCACTAAAATTCCACTATTCCTCACTAGCTTCCTAATGAAAACTCAGTCGACAGACTATTTGGAACGTAGCGTAGCGTAGAGAAATTCTTCGGATTTAAGTTAGGTGTTTAAAATGATTCACTATCAATGAATGTACAAATCTGATAATTCGAAGTAGTTTAGCTGTTTTAGAGTTTGTACATGTTTGGAAATATAGTCGAAAGTAATCATCTCTATGATGATTTAGCAGCTTTAATTCGCTATAAGAAAATTAATTACTGCTACTTAACTGGCTCTTTCGAGTTTTTTTTATTAACTATGCGTTATAAATGCGCTCCTTTGAAATATTGTACTTAATTTTTAACATCAAAACTTGACAGAAAAACATTATGTAAGCTTTAAATAAAATTTAAATAAAGCCTTAAATTCTAGAGTGCGCAAATAGCTTACAATTTCGAAAGGTTGTTTTAAAATCACTTTAGAGTAAAGTGATGGGCCATTTAGGAAGAAGTATATTAACAGGAAAAGTTTCCAAAATTGTACAAACGTGGGGCGATTGTTTTGACCAAATCCGAAAAAAAATCAGATTAACAATTATTAAAATTGACTATTTAGTAGTAGTAACGTGAAATTTGGCCAAAATAACGCCCGATCTAAAGGCTCATCTTGTCCTTTTAAAATGTAGCTGTAAACGTCTTAAAAATATTCAAGTATAACATTGTATATTAGTCTTTTTATCTTTGTTGATTTTAAGTTAAAATTTTATTTTACCGCCGTTTGTATAAGTGTATAGGTGCTTTTTATTTTATAAGTTATAAATTTTTAATTTGTATGTTTTGTTAACCATTTTTTTGAAGACTGCTAAGTAGGAAATTTTAATTGGCAAAAATTTTTTATTTTGTACGAGTGTTAATGGGGAAATGACCAGTTTCTAAATTCAAAAAAACGGAAAACTGAATATAAAACGGTTTTGCATATTTTTGCATTGTTTTTCTTTTTAAAGAGATCAAATTCAAAGGTCAATTTCTCATTCTAAAAGTATTTATTACAAATTCAATTAAACTTACCTATCTATAGAATTGTTTTAGAAGTGTTTCTTTTTTTATTATTATTCGCTAATTTTTGCAATTTTCCTCTACTCAGTCATTTTATACTTGTGATTATTTATAGTATGTATTAGATTTGTTTGAGCTGCAAAAAAACTGTTCAAATAAACAACCAATTTTGTATTACACGAGTGCGAGTTCAGAGATGGCTTATGCACCGGGTGCAATAAGTAATGCCCCATTGCACTCAATAGAAGGAATGATTACTAAATTTTTATTGCTAAAGTCATGGTAATAATAATGTTGTAGCGATACTAAATCGCCAATTAATGTATTGATTGATAGTGAATACAATTTTCGGTTTTTAATTGCACAATTGGTTTTTTTGCAAGTTATTTATTTCGTTTATCCGAGTGAATGTTGTAAAATTGTTATTTTTTGTGTTGAGAAAAATTCGTGTTTCGTTTATATATCTTAGAATATGGTTTTAGAATAGTTTAGTATAGTAGAAGATTACAAATCAAGTAAAAAAAGCTAGATTAGGACAATTTTTTTACTATTTTTTGTCGTTTATGGTATGTAATGGGAAATTAAAATTTGCGACGATTTTAGTTGAGATTTTTAAGTCTACAGCGCGTCCTTAAGGTTTCATACATATGTATCGATTAAAGACGAGAAAATTTATTGAAAAATCCGTTTATTAAATAATTAAATATCTGGAATGCCTTCATTCAGCAATATTAACGTAATGTGCATTACAGAGGAACGGTAAATCATTCCTCTGAGTCTTGATTTGTAAACTCCGACTATTTGTATAGTAACTTAGCGAACTAATTATTATTGGAACAAATTCAGATCGAAGAAAACTACAGTTTTTACGTGTAAACAATGACATTCTGTTTCCAGATGTATTATTCAAGTAAATCGTACGGTAAGGCGCATCCGATCCACAAAACTAATGTCTGTAAAAAGAATTAGTTGGTAAAATATTTCTTACATTAAAATATAAGAATTATTCAACTTTTTTTATCAACATCCCATACAATTTTTCTGAACCAATTGCATTGCAGCAAATATAATTTTATCCCCAATTCTAGTGTACCGAATTTTACCTAGATTTTAATTTTTTTTATTATTTAACAGCAATCAGAAAATAGTCATTCTTTAAGCAGCTTGGTTGTTACAGGAACAATGTGTAAACCGTTCCTTTACATTTGACATGATGAAGTTTCTCCATTGAGAAAGCCCCAATTCAAGTCGAAATTCTACCGAATTTTAATATCTCAATTTAGTGTCGCTTTGAATAGAAGTATACTTGGATGAAATTAAATACTAAAATCAAAATCAAACTTTTATTCAGAAGAAAATCAGTACAACTGCTGGATGACGTTAAGTCGTTAGTACTCCTACACAGCCAATGACTTGGTAGCCAGATTACAGAGTAACATTTTCGAGTAATACTAATTGTAAGTATATAAAAACGTTCAAAATAAATATTTACAAAATAAGGAATGAAGAAAACTGGTATAAGATTCGGAACATATTACAACACATGCTCTTCTCAAAAAAATGCCACAGATAATCGAGTTACGCTTTAATTTAATCTACTTCCTCCATTCGCGAAGCATCTTCACCATCACCAGACTCTACTGGCGGAGCATCACCTGCCGGGGTGTCTTCAGTAAGCATGGATTCCTCCTCATCGATGCCCAAACCCAACTTGATCATCCTGTAAATCCTGCAGGCGTGCACTTGGGGCTCATCCAGGGTGAATCCAGAACTGAGGAGTGCAGTTTCGAACAGCAAAATTACCAAATCCTTAACAGCCTTGTCATTCTTGTCCACTTCAGTCTTTTGCCTTAAGTTCTCGATGATAGAATGGTCAGGGTTGATTTCCAAGTGCTTCTTGGCCGCCATGTAACCCATGGTAGAAGTGTCACGGAGGGCTTGAGCCTTCATGATACGCTCCATATTCGCCGTCCATCCAAATTGGGATGTTACAATACAACAAGGAGATTCTACTAGACGGTTAGAAACGACAACCTGCAAAATTATAAAAAACAATTAATAACAATTTATTAAACAATATAATCTTCAATTTACCTTTTCCACTTTGTTGTCGAGGATGCTCTTCATGACTTTGCAGAGACCTTCGTACTTGGCTTTGTCTTCTTCGCGCTTCTTCTTCTCGTCTTCGTCTTCGGGCAGTTCCAAACCTTCCTTGGTTACAGACACTAAGCTCTTTCCATCGTATTCCTTGAGTTGCTGTACGACGTACTCATCGATGGGTTCAGTCATGTAAACTACTTCGAAGCCGCGCTTCTTGACACGCTCTACGAAAGCGGAATGGGCCACCTGCTCCTTGTTTTCGCCGGTGATGTAGTAAATGTGCTTCTGGTTCTCCTTCATGCGGCTAACGTAGTCTTTCATAGAGCACGCCTCGTCACCGCTGGCAGACGTGTGGTATCTCAACAAATCGGCCAATTTAGCTCTATTCTGCGAATCCTCGTGGATACCCAATTTGATGTTTTTAGAGAATTGTTCGTAGAATTTCTTGAAACCGTCCTTGTCTTCGGTGAGTTCTTCGAATAATTCTAAACATTTCTTTACCAAGTTCTTGCGGATTACTTTCAGGATCTTGTTTTGTTGAAGCATTTCTCTGGAAATGTTCAGTGGTAAATCTTCAGAGTCTACTACTCCCTTAATGAAGTTGAGGTATTCGGGAATGAGGTCCTCGCAGTTGTCCATGATGAACACCCTCCTGACGTAGAGTTTGATGTTGTTCTTCTTCTTCTTGTTTTCGAACAGGTCGAATGGTACACGACGCGGGACGAATAGAAGGGCCCTAAATTCGAGTTGACCTTCAACGCTGAAGTGTTTCACAGCCAAATGGTCCTCCCAATCGTTGGTCAAAGATTTGTAGAATTCACCGTATTCCTCCTGTGTAATATCATCGGCGTTTCTGGTCCAGATCGGTTTAGTTTTGTTCAATTCCTCATCTTCAGTGTACTTTTCTTTGATGGTCTTCTTCTTCTTCTTCTTATCCTCGTCTTTCTTGTCTTCGTCTTCATCCTCTCCTACATCTTCGATCTTGGGTTTGTCGTCGCTTTCTTCTTCCTTCTTCTCTTCTTCGACTTCGTCGTCGCTCAATTCCTTTTCCCTTTCTTTTTCGACCAGCAATTTAATCGGGTAGCCAATGAATTGAGAGTGTTTCTTGACGATCTCCTTGATTTTGTTCTCTTCCAGGAATTCAGTCTGGTCCTCCTTGATGTGCAAGACGATCTTGGTACCGCGACCCAAGGGCTCGCCTTGGTCTGAGCGAATGGTGAAGCTACCTCCGGCAGATGACTCCCATATGTACTGCTCGTCGTCGTTGTTCTTCGAAACGACAGTAACCCTATCGGCTATCAGGTAGGCGGAGTAGAAACCCACACCAAATTGACCAATCATACTGATATCGGCTCCGGCTTGAAGCGCCTCCATGAAGGCCTTGGTGCCAGACTTGGCGATGGTACCCAAATTGTTCACCAAATCAGCTTTGGTCATACCGATACCGGTATCGATGATGGTGAGGGTACCTTCGGTCTTGTTGGGCACGATCTTGATTTGCAAGTCCTTTCCGGAATCGAGACACGAGGGGTTGGTGAGCGATTGGTAGCGGATCTTGTCCAAAGCGTCAGAGGAGTTCGAAATCAATTCTCTGAGGAAGATTTCCTTGTTGGAGTAGAAGGTGTTGATGATCAAGCTCATCAATTGGGCGATCTCCGCCTGGAAGGCGAAGGTTTCGACATCTCCAGAACCGGTTTCTTCAGGCATCTGTATTGGACAAAAAAAATGTATAAGAAAAAATTCTTACTGAAAAATGTGCTAAAAATAGGAATAATAGGAAAACTTGATATATGAGGTCATGGATACATAAGAGCCATAGATATGAATTATACAATGTAAAAAAGTGAGCTAAGATGATAGTCGTTAAATAAATAAAAGAAAATCATGACTATTCATTGTAAATTTATTAATTATAGCGGCCTATGCAGATGACCACCAAAAATCAATTTTTATGTAAAATTAACATAGAATAACTTTAAAAAACTATTCTCAAGCCATACAAAAGCCTCCAAAGAAAGTTATAATAACATACAAGGTCTATTATATTCTTAATTATATCCTTAAATAATTAAAAATTCTACCGGCACGTGTAAATTAAAATGGAACTTAAACCTCTAATGCACGCTGAAATTATGACAAAAACGATGAAAAATACGTACCTTTACTGATTTACGTTAAAATCTTCACAAATATAAGAGCTTTTCAGTGAAAAATCGCTTTAAAAACGCTTGGAAAACCACTTTAAAGGGTCGCCTCACTCGCTAGCGGTTGAAATAAATTTGACGTCGACTTTCAATGTCGGTTGCTTTTATAGCCTACTGCGATCTCGAATAATCTAGAAAGTTCTAGAAGGTTTTGGAAGCAGCATAGAAGCGCGAAATCGTTCGATAATAGAGACAGAAATATGTTCCATCTTGGTTTATTTCCGGTTTTCGACGCGGTAGAATTCGAATTGGAAGTTTCTGGAAATCGTTGAGTAATGATTTTTTCGAGAACATTCGTTACCACAATGGTCGTGTCTTTATTTGCATTATCACCCAAAGAAAAGCAAAAACATAGAGTCAAAAGTATGAAAACGATTTTCAGTAGATTTTTTTAAATGAATTATGGCATAATAAAATATTTTCTGAGTACAACTATCACTTTTAATAATTTTATAAAGGAAAAGTATTAGATTTTTAAAGTTTGGATATATTCGTGAAATTTTATGTAATTAAATTTGCAGTTAATTGAATCTTATTTTTAAATATGATTTTTAATAGGCCATAGTAGCCAATAAAACTAGAAAATGTTCAAAATACCTATCTATTTTCCTTTATTGTTTTTAAAACTTATCGCAAAAAAGGTAGTTGACAATTTTACGTATATCCGGTAATATTCAAAACAATACCTTAATTAAACAAATTTAAATTTTCACATTAAATTTGTAAGTGTATTATGAATTGTCTAACTACTAGGGAATTACATTCTGTACTAATTTCTCTTAAAGTAAAAGACCACGAGCAACTTATAAAATATTTGTGATGGCTATCCTGAATTTTAAACAGTTTTTGACTTTGACAGGTTGACCTATGACCTACTAGCTCCTTTATTTTTTATGTAAAATTTGTAGGTTAGTGTCTCTGGTTATGTCTAAATTCGTTTATAAATATATGATTTATCTATGAATACTATAAGCAAGCGAAATGAATTTATGTTCTAATAATTCGTACGGCAATGGGTTGAATTACGTAGGCTTTAACCAAGATCACGGTACGTATCGCCTGTAAAAATCGTTGTACAGATTGAAACGCTAATTGGTTTTGTGTAGGATGTTTCGCCTGTGCCACATCAACCGGCTACAGAATATACAATTGCGATCCTCTCAAAGAAAAGGAAAGACAGGACTTCGAAAATGGCGGTCTCAATTTCATCGAAATGCTGTTCAGATGCAATTATTTGGCGTTGGTCGGGGGCGGCTCTCGGCCCCTCTACCCCACGAACAAAGTCATGGTATGGGACGATTTGAAGAAATGCTCGGCAATCTTATTGGAATTCAACGCTTCAGTTCTTGCAGTCAGATTAAGGAGAGATAGAATAGTAGTAGTATTAGGTACGGTTTGTTCATGTCAATGTGGCACAAATAAACAATCTTTTCATTTATAGAAGGCGTTATAAAAGTATACACGTTTACTCAATGTCCGCAACAACTTCACGTGTTTGAAACCAGCTCCAACCCTAAAGGATTGTGTGTTTTATGTCCGAACAGCAACAATTCGATTCTGGCGTTTCCCGGAAGAAAAACGGGTCACGTTCAACTAGTAGATTTAGCTAAAACTGAAAAATCTCCTGTAGACATAATAGCGCACGAGGCGAATCTCAGCTGCATTTCATTGAACCAACAAGGAACGCTGTTAGCGACTGCTAGTGAAAAAGGGACGCTTATTAGAGTTTTCAACACACAAAATGGACAGAAGGTTACGGAACTGAGACGAGGAAGCAATCAAGTAGGTTGAAAACAAATACCTGTGGACCTTTCTACTAGGGCGATCCAGCCAATTCTAAAAATCTCACAAAACCCATACTTTTTTTTCATTTTAATAATAGGTTACTTCAAGTTATTACTTCTTTATTAACCGTTTAAAATTGGTTTTCAGGCGAGTATATATTGCATCAACTTCAACAAAAGTTCGACATCTCTGTGCGTTTCATCCGATCACGGTACTGTCCACGTTTTTGCGCTCAGCGATCCGAAATTAAACAAGCAATCGTCTTTAGCCAATTCGATGTTCCTTCCTAAATACTTCTCTTCAACTTGGTCGTTTTGCAAGTTTTCCGTACCGAATGGTCCGCCTTGCATCTGCGCTTTTGGTGCCGACGACAATTCCGTTATAGGTATGTATGCAAAGTTGGCAACTGTGCTACATTAGCATGTGGCAACACTGTTGCAACATTTGTTGCGTTCTGGGCTTAGCAAGTCCTTTGTGGGCCTGTGTGTCACTGGGATTTAGGGGTCCCTCCTTGCTCCTTGTATAAAAAAACCGTAAGTATTAAATAAGGCCCCATTGGCATTTTGGCATGTAGGCGACTCTAAGTCATGGGCTCCTGCACTCCCGGTTGCTACGCCCCTGGTTCTATGTACGAGATATTAATGAATTGATGTTTGTTGCAGTGATTTGTGGAGATGGTTGTTACTACAAATTCGTTTTTAATTTAAAGGGTGAGTACGTTAGAGAAACCTGCGCCCAATTTTTAGACATGACTGATGATAGTTTGTAACCATTCGCCTAGCGTGTAAGTGCAGAATTATTTTTTTATTACAAATAGCAATGGGTGTTATTGCATTGAAATTGAACAAAATTATTTATTTTGTATATACATATGAGATTTGATCGTGAGTAATTTATAGATAAATTTTAATTCTAAATTTGTATTTTAGGAATCAAAGATAACTAACTGCATTTATTTCGAGGTTTCAATTGGATTGGAAGATGGAAATTTTCAAATCTGATTGATAATTCGACATAATCCGCTATTTCTATAGTACATATCTAAATTGCAGATTAAACTAAATCTGATTAAAGAAATTTACGAATACAAAACAAAACCGTAAAATAAATATGCATTGACAAAATCAATAAGAGATTAAGAAAACTTCCATCTGCAATACCTGCAGATTCAATTAATTGACCTCGACTTAAATGTAGTCAATGATATCGAATAAGGTTGTATGTAGAAAAAAATACACAAAAATGTTGAGCTTTCTTTAATTTTCTTTCAGTCCTTTAAAATCCATTCCTAGTAAAAATATTTCAGCGGAATCTGATCGACTCGAGTCAGGTTTGACTAATTTAACATTTTTGTAGAATCTAGCTATATCGTTTTCTAATTGTTTAGTTTCTCCACATTGCCACAACTTTACAAGTATAGATGCATTTTGCTCGGATACTTTTACAGCAAATCGAAGCACATTGTAACACAATTCTATTATAATATCATTATCCAAATGTCGTATTCCACTAGCACTGGGAGCCATATCGGAGACTACAGCATTGGCACGCTTGCCTTCCAAGAAATGGGTTATTTTCTCTTGGTTTTCCGGTTTAGTAAAATCCATATTTCCAAATATTGTTACGCCCTGCAATTGTTCTTATTAAATAAGGAATGCAATGTTTTACCCAGTGTTTCCAACTACAGGGATATTTTTAGGAACTAAAGGGAAAAAGAATCCTCAAAGTTTAGTAACACTGGCTTTCCTAATATTTATACGCACGTCTATAGGGTAAATTTGCTGCTTGTCTATAGCAACTGCTATGCCTTTTGGTGCATTTTGATCCTGACCGTTGGAATTAATCTTATTGGCAATTACTTGCGACCAAGAACCTGGAGCAGCGCCTACGTCTATAACTACTTGTCCGGGCTTCAGAAACTGATATTTATTATTAATTTCCACTAATTTAAAGGCACTGCGACATCTGTAGTTCATCTGTTTGGCCTTTTCCACGTACGGATCCGAGAGTTGCCTTGAAAGCCATTCATTCGAACTGGCATTTTTCTGTTTACTTTTCAGAGTATTTGAAGTTATTTTGCGTTGTAAAGTTCGAAATGTTGAAAAACCTCTATTCATTTTGAATTTTGGAAAGAGGTTAGGTTATTGTCATCTTCTTGTTTTATTACAAATATTAATAAAATCTTGCCTGTTACTTTGCAGATAATGAGTTCAAGGAATGTTTTTGTTTAGGGGATTTCATTTTTATGTGTTGGTAATGTTGGTATTAAAATGCAATTAACTAAATTGACATTTTTAGACATTGACATTTCAGTCCATTAAAAATTGGTAAAAATATTTTTGGTCTAATTTCAATTATACCGAGTTATCGTTTAAAAAATGAAAATAACAGTAAAGTGTTTGAAAGGTGGTAGCTGCTTAGTAGAAGTTAGCGAAAATTCTACAGTTTCAGAACTAAAGAAGCTCGTCGAAAGGGACTTGAAAATTCCAGTCTTCCAACAAACGCTGATATTAAACGGCAAATGCCTTCAAGACGACAAGTGTTTGGTAGAATATCCGAAAGTTAAAGACGGGACTAAATTGTACGTTGCAATCAAAAAACCCGAATCTTTCAGCACGATACTTCACGTATTTTTGAGAAAGTACTATTCAGAGGAACAGTGCAAAGTTATCGTAGACGAATTTATGAGGAATTTCCACATGAAAGTCGAAAACTTAAGTTTGGATGATTTAGAAAGGATAGCGAAATCGGAAATAGACAGTTTAAGAACGTAGAATAATGTACAATCATTCATTTTGTACCTTTGTAATATACTTGCAATAAGGACAATTTTTTTAGTAGTGACAAATATGCTCGAGTAAGTGTGAAGAATTTTGTACAGAAAGGATGTCCCTTAAAAAGACGAAAATACTTCAGTAGAGCCAAAATAGTGCTAAAATTCCCAATTTTCTTGTAAAAATTGTTTATTTTGAAATTGATACCTAATGGTTTGGATTCTATCAAACATAATAGAAAGTATTACAAAAAAACACTTCATGGACTCGAGTACCTACTAATAATTCTGAGAAGTTCTTTACTTTTGACAAATATGCATTAAATAATTACCTAGTTAATTTTTACTCTATAATAGCTTTATAATACTAGATGTCTATTACTACCAATCTAGAACTTTATTAAAGTTTCTAATTTCTTGTATTTTTTACTTATTAAGGGGCACCCTGTATAGTGAGAACATTTTCTGAAGCTCATGTTACTCCCTTTGTAATTTTGTTCTTGTTTACAGTTTGTTATGTTTGTAGGAATATTCAATTAAAACGAATTTTTGATGTATTTTTTATGAATTTTTAGACGAGTATACTGGCACAAATTACATCAGTTTAAACAATACATAATATATAAAGAATAAATAACTCGTACAATTAGCATGTTTACTTATTTTATCACTAATACGTTTTTATACAGTTTGTACATGAAATTGTAAAATTTATGCAGAAATAAGTCGTTAAAAATGTACAAGCAATAGCACTATGTTAAAAAAATTGACGGATGATTAATACTGATACAACCTAAAAGCTAATGTTATTTTAAAATTGTAATAATACTTATTGAGTTATTAGATAATTTTTGAATAATCATGAATTACATACATATATGGCGCTCGTTTATTTACAGAATGAAAGATTTGCGATGAAAATCTTGACCACAAATTTTATTTTGCGGCCAAAGGATTAACATTCTTTTTATTCAAATTTACCATTCTGTGCGATTTTTCAAAAAAACTGAAAAAACCCATTACAGCTCTTAACGTAGTTGAAATTAAATTAAATTACCATAATATTACTCATTGCGAGTTAATTAACTTTAAAATGGTTAGTTTTAATGACCGCAACGTGTAAAACCGTTATTTCTTAAGGATATATCGGTTTTCTCAACTGGCGATACCTAATCAATAAAAAAATTCCATTTGACTTTGTGCGTTTCGATAACAAATAAAAATCTGAGGACGTTTTTTGCTTCTGTACGCAATAATAAATTCATCTTAATTTATTGCCAATTAAAGTGAATGCAGATGAAACTTTAAATGCCGAATAATTAATTGCCTAAATAGTATGTGAAAAAATATAAATATAAATAAAACATTAGCTTTGTAGAAATATACAAGTGTATAAAATAAATAAGGCTATAAATACTTAATACACTATTTTATGATGTTATTGTACACAGTGGTAAAAAATTAATGTGTTGTGATGATACTTTGGAATATGAAATATTTGTTTGCTATTATGGGTTTCTCAATACTTCTTAAATTAGCATTCTTAACACTAAAGGGTTTATTATAATCGTTGTTTTTGGCATATGTAACTAGTATTGCGTTGACAATTATTGTTTAAAACAAGAATTAATATCGTTGAGAAGTCACAATATCAATTAAGAAATTAAGTTATTTAAAGTTTGAAGAGTACAGAAATGTGATCAATTATCTCGACAACAAACATTTTCATTAGAACATTAGTCAATTACATTTAAAAATATTAAGTTGATTAAACAATACGTGTACCTACTTTACTTATAATTTTTTATCAAGATTTTGTAGCAAATTAGGCTCTAAAAAATACTTTTGAAATTTCATGAGAAAAACATTTACAACCGTTCTTTCATTAAAAGAGCGAAATGCATTAGTGCGCGTTATCCATAAACATCCAGTTTTAATGAATCAAATTTGTCAAGGCAATTTCAGAGTCGGCGCGAAAATTAATTTCTAATTAATCAACAACTAGAAAAAATTTTCACCTATTCCATTACAACTTTCTTTCGAGCCGTTAAGAAATTTTATAGAGTTTCCCAAGCTCTACGGTTTCGCATTTTGTACTACAATTTGTTCCAAATAATCTGAGACGTGAGCTAAGAAACCATATACATATAAGTAAGTACTGATACAGTAAAATAATCTACTCTATACACGAGATAAATAAAAATAAATATACATTACGCAGAGAATAAATCACACGAGAATCACCTCTGTTTATGCTTGAACTTGAACAGATAGGCAAAATCGTCCGTGGGAATCGACCTGTAGTAATTGGGCTTTTTGAACTGCTCCATGTCCAAATATGCGTGCTTCCTGGAGAACCTCAGAACCACCGGCCTTTGATAGCTGCTGTCGCTCCACCTGGGCGGCAACATGAACAACCCGTTGTTCCTATCACGGTTCCTTCTATTTACAGGCGTGTGAGGAGTAGCGGTTGGGCGGGAATCCCTCGAAGCGAGAAAATCGAAATTCACAGGCTCCACCGGTTCCTCGAGTTGCCTACTTTCAGCGGCACGAGGTACATGATTCACTGACGTGGAAGAGGAAGCCGCTATGTCCCCAATACCGGGGAATCTGAATTTGTAATGAAGAGGATCATCGGTGAATCTTACTCTATCACCATCAGTAGTGGTCGGTTCTGAATTAGTGGTGGTTTCTGCGATTGTAGTGGTCTCTGTTGGAGTTGTTTCGGTTTGTGTAGAGGCAGTAGTTGTGTCGGAAATGGTGGTTGTTGTGATTTCCGTTGTGGTCGGTTCTGCTAGGCGTTTCAGAAGATTCTCTTGCTTAGCTTCGTCTTTGCTCGCATCAAAACTGGCCCTTTTGTCTACGTTAATTTGCGGTTTGGTGGGCGAAACGATGATGGCAACGTCGGATTCTTCGATGATTTCTTCGGCGGCATCGTCGTCGTCGGTTTGGATCCCTAGGGGGATATTCACTTGGAAGGGACCCGGCGTGGCTTCGGTGTCGTCGTAATAATCGTCCTCGTAGTCCGCCGGTGAGAATTTCTCCTTCAATCTTTCGATGAGGAAGTCGTAGTGAGCAGCCTGGTCCAATTTGATGATTTTGATGCATCTGCCCAGGTGGTCGGAGCTGTAGCCTTCAGCGCAGGCCGGGAGGGATTCGGGACTGAAGGTGGGCGCTATGAAAACCGATTTGGGGGTGATTCTTCTGCGTAGGACCCCGTCGGAGGGTTGCTTGTTCTGGTTCTGTTGCTCGTCGACGAGCAACCAAGCCTCCCATGTCAGGTCCGGGGACCTCTCGTTCAAAGGCTTCGCCGGATAGCACGATGACGAGGAGAAATACAGAATCAAAATTACCACGAACTTGCACATGTCCATCACTAGTACGTATTTCTTCAACATTGTTTTTCTCAAGACGTCGATACTCTCGTTCTTACATTCGCTTCGATGGATGGTAACTCACTGATCCGATACATCAGAATCGGCTTCGTATATAAGGATGAGACCTGCGGATAAAAAAATAATAATTAGATTGCTTATTGAAACGTTCATATTTGCTTTTATTGAAAGATGCGAATTTCCATATGGCGGTTTTTGGCACGACGCCATCGAATTTGCTCTCAACCTTTAGCACACCAGCGCTCGATAAAGATGATTTACAATTGTAGCGAAAATCCCGACGTAACTTAATCGAATCGTTAATTTAAACTACCATTTGTGTACCTACGTTCCTTTTTTGTGACGCCTAACGAATCGGAATCGATCCATTGTTTGAGTTGGATGGTTTATTTTTTCTAACAATCCGACGTTAACACCTGGAGTAATCTCGATCGCGTTATAAATCTTTCGTTGAAATGCAAACATACAGTTTGCGGAACGCGTTTAATCGATCGTTAGTAGTCGATTAGTAAATTTCTGGGGTAATAAAAACATGGAATAATCAAAACATCGTACTCGATGTGTGCGGTTATTAATTAGATGTTAACTTTATGTGTTTGTGCTTGAAGAGGGCTCAAAATAATTATTTGTTTATCCTTGGTATTAAATGAATTTTGTTTGTTAAGCGGCAGTTAACAAGTCTTTTAACTGGTCGGTAAATATGTTGGAGTGGTTTTGTTTTCCTTATGTTCAGGAAAATCTGATTAATGAAGCAATTAGATTCCAATTACTTTGTATGTTACCTAAATAAAGTCTTGCTCTCTGAGAGATTTAACTGGTTAAATACGTCTCATTTTTTTTGTAATTCAAATATTTTTGATTTTCTCTAATTGTATTTTTTAATGGTTTCTCCCCTATTCCCAATTTCGTCTACAAAAATATTTTTATGTATAAAACTTAGCTGTTTTCAAAATGTTTCGTTGTTTTTTGTTTATTTTTCGCCGTTTTCGCGACCTTACCAGATGGATTGAATAATCAGTCGGAGAAATTTTCCACCGAATAAACCCACCGTAATAACATTAAAATTACCGGTTTTTTTATCGCTCGAATAGTAAATAGGAACTAAGCTCGATAAAATCGAATGGCTGTTGATTCGCAGACGCTTCGTCTGGAAAACGCTTTTAAAAACGTCTCGAGTGCTATTCGGTCGTAAAGTCGATTAAAAAGCGGCCCGTAAGAACTTACAGCACGGTGATATACAGGGTGTCCCTGCGAAAACTTAATATGCTATCATTTCTGCTGCTGTTAAATTTGGAAATATGAATTTTTGATATATTACACATTACCTACTTAAGGGTACTCCCGCAAGTATTCTTTAAACATAAAACATTTGAAAAATTAGTATAAACAATTGGATTAATCGCAACCAGTCCTTTCGCTGGGACACCCTGTATCGGCTAGAAAAACCATCTAACGACTATCTTCGTGGGTGGGCATTTCGGCTTTCGGCTTACACACATAACATTTTCATTAGGATACTTTCCGTGTAATTTCTGGGCGATTTCCAACGACGGGTAATTGAAAATTTACGGCCGAAGTGCAAATACTTGATTAAATAATTTCTTTGAAAATTCCTGATGAAAGATCGCTATTGATCGGGGAGCGATTGAATTAAATTGATTATACTGCGTTCACTGTGATCACTTCTATGTGCACATTATTACATGTTTAGACGAATAGAAAATTCTTTTATAAGGATATGAATGAAACAAATAGGTGGCTATATGAAAGCTAAGAATGTCAGAAATTGTTAACATAATTTTAAGTACCTATAAGTTCATTTGGAATATTCACATACTTGATTTAGAGCCAGTTAGTCACAATATTTCAGACTTTTACAGTGTATAAAACTTATGTTTAACTTGTTTCGCGGTTTTTCAATATCTATAAGCATCTCCTCGACATTACAAATAAAAAAACATTAAAATAACACACTTTATTTTCATATCTTGTATTGGTTGTATTGAGATAAAATTTGACCTCAATGCAGGTTTTTTTCCCTACATGACGTTCCAAATCTAAATAGTTATTAATTAACAAAAAAAAGGACTTTCAAACACTTCACACGATGAAAAATCTCCGTGATAACCTACATAACGTCACAAAATAGCGTGATAATGTACGAGTAGTTTAATGTTTAAGAGAGTTTAATGTTTAAATTGAACCAGTTCTGTCGATAACTTTGGCTGTATGTATATTCCTGATTGTTTACAATTTGCGTTGACCCCTGGAGGAAACAACACTATTTTTTTCATCTATCACTGTATCAAGTTGGTAATTTATGTTTAGAACCCTTTCGGTGTTGAAAGAACGATCACGGCCAGTGGGGGCTTGAACAAGGAGAATTTCTCATCGTAGATTATTGGAATTATTTAATTATTCATCTAATAACTAATAACACAGGGTAAATAAAGTAAATATTGTGAACGATGTGAAAGTGTTAATTAATCTAATTCTAACTAATTAAAATTTATCAGTTCGCAAGTGCTTCCGGTTTAAAATCATGTTTCCTATGCGTAATTAATTATGTATAAATATTATAATAGCATTCTAAAAAATAATTTAAATGTATTATTGGAGGGCTGATGAAGAATAACTTGAATTTTAAACAAGTTGGCTTTAAAAAATTCAACGAAATCTAACCCAAGAATTAAATGCTGTAATAGAATATACATTTCATTCGATGGCAAACATTTTATATTTAACACGTGCAAAATGCACAAATTCACAAAAAACTATTACAATATTCGAGTACATTGGAATTTTTTAATTTTCATATTTACACAGAAAAAGTAATTGCGCGAAATGGTGAATATTAAATTTCAAAAATATCGAAATTTGAAAACACCAGTCAGTACAAAATATAAAATTCACAGTTATATACAAATGATTTGAAACATTTTTGAAAATTTGGGGAAAATTATATTTTAGTTTATTCTATTTAATCCTTTTTTTATTTATTTAATTTATAAATTATTTAATTTTTGATATTTTTTTGCTTTTATTAAAAATTACTAGATACATAATTAAAAGTTTACTTATTTTTAGTCAAGAAATAACGAACGCCAATGCTCCAACCTAATTCGAGTCCTTTTGAATTGAAACTGATTAACTGATGATGCGCAGCGCTAGAAAAAATTAATTATTTCTTCATTATTAGCGATAATTAGAGTGTAAGTGGAATGTACCGAGTGCCATGGAATCGAGAAAAATGGTTATGATGATTTTTCTTTAATAACATTTCGTAGAATGGCAATAAAAATATAAATAAAATTATTTAGAAATTTAATTTTTGAAAACATTGAAAACTAAAATCATTGTGCGTGCTTTTTCGCAACGCCCAAACCGTTATTTTGCGTTGTAAATTAAACGAAAGAGGACCGAGAAAGGATAAAGCAAATACGCTTTTCGATAAAACTTCTAAATTTAAAATATCGCAAAATATCGGCTACATTTTATTGCGAAAAGGTTTTTAAATTTTATTGCCGACCGTAAAAGATTTTTTAAGCTTCTAAATTCACTGATACATTAAGTTTCCCGCTAAAATTTCTCTACTACATAATAAATTTTTTTATTCGATTTAAACTTGAACAAGACATGGAAAAACTGGCTGGCTTTCGGCATTTTTTTCCCAATTAATTGCGCACTTATTTGTTTGTACAAGAGCATCCCATTGGCCATTATCCAACTTTAAACAAATAAAATTTATTTTTTCTACCGCGATTTATTTATTTTAGTTCGGTTTTATGAGCACGTTAACCAGGTATAACTGTAATAAAAGTATCCTTTTATTAACACACATACAGGGCGGCTATAAAACTTCATTCATTCAACTTTTGATCGTCAATGAAACCTTGGGTGGTCAATCATAGACCATATACTCCATATAGAGTAGAAACTAAATGAAAATTTATGCAAAAATTTCAAGAAATCATATTTTTGAGAGTTTGGTTTATCCAATCGTGGACATATCTAATTAACTCTTTTGGATAGATAAGACTCACTTTTGTTTAAATAATTAACAATATTATAGGTTACTTCTTATCTAAACTCGATTAATATTGCTTTAATTAAATACATATGTATGTAAATGTGTGGCTTTCTTAGGTAAATAATACACTCTAACAGATAATTGAATCTCCAGTATAAACAAAATTGCCAACCTCGAAAAAGTCTCAATAATTTATAATCAAACGTTCACAAAAACAAACCATCAATTTGCGGTAAAAACTGACTATAATTAATATCATTTTTATTAAATTAAAAAAAAATTATTAGCCAATTGACTTCCTCGATTCGGTGATTATATGAGATAAAAATATTTATCTCGATTCGTTTAAATGTCCCATTACGTTTAATTAAACCACTAGGTATATTCGCTGGTAATATAACAGGGACAGTAGTGCGTGTAGATATTTCGGTGTTTTGATTAAAAACCCGTGTTTTCAGTTACATTGACCTTTCGCTACAATACCCGATAATTTTTCCAACTGTAAACCGTCTAAAAATTACACAATTCGAAAAGACCGTAATATTTATCGGCTCTTGATTGTTTTTAAATTAATATTAATATTGATTTAAGAAAACGCGGAATCAAGGTCTGGCTGTATCTGAGAAGCAGGATGTACACAATGTCGTTGAAAAAGTTCATACGATGTCAATTAATTATCTATAAAATATATATTTTTTTCCATTGTTATATCAGCGTGCTGTAGTAGATGTATAATTGAGGAAGTTTGTAAAAAAGTCGAGTTTATAGTCCAAAGATGTATGTATACCAAAGATTTTATGTAATATAAGTCCGGTCCTGTTTTGCCGAATTTCGCAAAACGATAAACAAAAATTGTTTTTTTTAATTTCAAGACATGATTGAATTCATTTAACATCAACTACACGTTGTGAATGAATATTGCTTTCTTTACGAATTCTCTTTAGTATAGTACAACCGTAAACGGAAACCTAAATTGTTGTTAAACAAACATATTATACATTTATTGTTATCATTTATCTACAATCTAATCGTCGACATGTCCGTTATGAAAACGAAATTACCTTCGGTTTACACGCCCGATGAGTATGCACTGCACGCATTATTTTATTTTCATTTATATGTTATTGAACTACGCCGGAATCACGTAAACAAATTAATTTAGCGATTCATAATGGCGAATTAGCGGGCCGGTTTGTCGATTATAATTCGATCTGAATTGATTCCCAATGCCGAAATTGATAATTCGGTGTGTTCCGAATCGCAATTAATCGACTATCGAACGATGTAAGCAAAGCGATCTTGGCGATATGTTCGAGTAAATGCTAGTAATTAATGAGCTTGATTGAATGGGTTTTAACCAATATGTGCCAGGTTTTGCACAAACGATCTGTATTGTGTTGAATTATCTTGTTTCAAGTTATTCCTGGTCTTTATATGGGTTCATTTACGTTATAGTAGGAATATAAATTTATTAGTGGACGCGACTGATAAGTTATTAAGATATACATTCGATAATAATGTCTGTATATTTATGCGATTTTATAAACATTTCATTTAAGACAAATTAAAGCTACTTATTAAGCCATATGAATATTTAAATGAGGTAATAATAAAAACACTGGGAATCGATTAAGGAAGCTTGTAAAATTTAACATCTAATTCGAATTCAATAAAATTGATAAAGATTTGATTTTGATCCGTGTTTGCGTTATATTATCGACCTTCCTATAGGTGTTGGGAAATTAACGCGCAGATATGGATAATTCCAGAAAAATATATGGTTCTAACAAATGTGATACACAGGGTGTTCCTAAATATCACGTGTATACGGAAGAGGGCATTTTATAGATTATTCTATGAGTAAAACTTTATAAAAACATTGGCGTATCGAAGAAAAGTTCAGTAGAGAAAAATTGTAAAAATTTGTAAAAAAAATTGAAAAAATTGAAAATTTCCTGAAATGTAACATGATGAGATTTATAGATGCATATAAAATATTCGAATTCTTTGGATAATAATAAGCCTATTTAAATGCATCTATCTACTTTAATTAAAGTCATTTAAATTTGCCATAAAGAATGTAATTTGCCTGATGATTTTACCCATAAGTGTTTAGAAATATTACTACTAAAGCATTAAACAAACAAGTGATGCCCCATCAGAATTATAACTCATAATTAAATATTTCTAAAAGAACATAAAAATTAAAAAAGAAGTTAAATAACAACCCCTAACTTACCCCAACTTCCAAAAATTAACAACACGCACAATACATAAACAAGTCCATGCATAAATGTTTACAATAACCCCGACACAAACATTACATGCACATTTATCAATGCTAAAACGATTCGATAAAGTTTTCGACCAAACGACCGAACTTTGCACTTGCATATAAAGCAGCCTCTCCGGCCTAGCTTGGAATAACCAGGAAGGATATCGTAAAGTGTAGCTATTGCTCAGAGTGCAGTAGCTCTTCGATAAAGCGAAATGTGACTGTGACTGGAAGAAAACTCCGTAAACTTACTATACTACTCCATTGAGGCAGCGCTCAGATGCGCGACTTTATAAGAACGCCCGCCAGTGGCGTGGCGACGCGGCGGGCCGAGGGCTTGTTTTATCAAACTGATTGCGTTATAGAGTTAATTGTTGCGTATTATATGTGAAATTGCGTCAGTGGGAATTAGAGGAAAATCGTTCTCGGATACTGCTAATTGTTGACAATTCAGGAACAACAGATTATTAGATTAGAAATTATGCGAAGGTTTTTGTATGTATAGCATGTAACATTTAAGGATCATGAAGCTCTATTTTTGGATTCATATTTTATATTTTCAATGATATTGAAGCTTGAAAAGCTGTGAAAACCTCCTATTTTTAACCATATTTCTTTTATCATTAACTTTATTAAATGTTTTTCATTATATGACATTTTCTTCTAAAATTTTTCTTATAAGTGTTTTTTAAATGATTGTACCCATATTTTTTTCGAGAAACTAATAATTTAGATAACTTTCACCTTTAATTCTGCGCCACTGGCATAAAAAGAATAAGATATCAAAACTAGATGCTATATGTATATTAACATAATAATATGTACATGTAAAAATCTGAGTTTAGTATTTCAAAAGGCACATGCGAAATCTTCAAAAAAGCTTTTTTTGTACACCCTGATGCATTACCAACAACCAAGGAAATCCTTAGGAGCTTAAGGATTCATGATCCTACATCAAAATTCCTCAAACAGCCAGTCAATCTCAGCAAAGATCCTCTCCTGTATCCCCTAGGATAAAGCCTGTGGAATTTATCAACACCCTGTAGATATCCTTCAAATTTCCACATAAACTGCGCATCAAAAACCTCCCTCGCAAATTACCATAAAATTTTTACAGCGAATCTCGAATCTTTCGATGTATTTCAGGACTTCCGGACTTACAAAATTCGCCTGTAAATCGCATTTAATGTCTTTTTTTCGCGATTGCAAGTTGTTATTATATGTACGTTGCATTTCGAATCGATCGAATTATTACGTTAGAAAACAAACAAATCCTAGGATTGGTTACGCCAATGCGGGAACAGATGCAACGAATCAACATCGTCCGGATAAGATAGATGCATTTATTTACGGCTTATTTTCATTTAAACCTTTTGTAAGTTATTATTGACAAGTGCGTCGGGCGCACATAAAAGCCTAGCGACTACTTTATTTACTAGTTAATTTTTTATAACGAGATAAGGATAATGGAGCGTGGAGAAAAATCGATTGGCGCTTTCGGATGTGGTTGTAGATTGTAAATAATTCAACTCATTTTTATTATACATATGTAATACCTAAGAAATGTTACTCCAGTGTATGGAAGAGGTACTAGGTGTACTAAGGTATAAAGAAAAAATACTGGAGAATAATTCATAATCAAATAATCTCCTGAAAAGTACACTTTTGGCTTTGTAAAGCTCTAAAAATTTACACCTGCAAATATTCTAGAAGTAATCTACTGCTCAAGAAATGACCTTAAAATAAGAGGTAATAAAATCGCCCTGTAAATACAGATTCTATGGATTATCTCCCCAAGATAAAAAGGTAGTGTAGTTATATTCACACATTCAATTCAATTCAACCTTCAATTTGCAGAAACATTTTTTAAAAGAGATTTTTTAAACACCTCAAATGTACCGTGCATTATCGTAAATTCGAAATTACGCGAAATTTAATGCGCGCGCTCGGATCTCTGTTCAATATAAAACGTTTTAAACATTTTAACGCTATGCGATCGTATTTCTTCTTTATGATAGCGTTGACGCGAATTATGTTCGCAATGCCACGCAAAGAGGATCTGCCGCTTTTCAGATAACACTTAAAAATAAGTAGAAGAACGCGCACTTTTGCTTATTCTATTCAATGGAAAGCGGGGAGCTTTTTCGATGGTTTATATGGAAGGCGAAGTGAGGTGTTAATTAATTTATACTTTCTTCCTTAATAACTGATTATGTGCAGGAAAATTCCGAAACTGGAGAACCTATAAATAAATCTAATAACGGAACATCATTAAAATACCATTCACAAGAAGCGAGATACGAGGGTGGTTCAAAAAGTAAAAAATTTGCATAAGCAACACTAAACAAATTCAAGTATACTTTTACTCTTATTCATTAATTGCATAGCCAATTACAAGCTATTTATTTTAAAGTATACGTATTCTATATTCTATAACATACCTAATAAAATGTTTATTAGTAACACTCATGGTAATAAATTAGTACTTAATTAATTCAAATCATATTCACCGGAAACTGACACTAGAAACACTAGAGGTAGAACATTACCTACAATGACAATCAATTTGTTTTTCAGTACACCATTAGGTAAACAAGGAAAAACCCCTATGATATTACACTAAAATTTCGACAATAGAACAATTGTTATATTCACAAAGATTGAAATTAATTACCGTTTAAATGGATGTTTTGTTAAACAAACCACTTAAGTAGGTGGGTTTCTGTGTTGGTATGTCTCAATATCATTACTCCTGTGTAATGAACTATCAATTAGAAAAATTTATACAATAAATGTCAGTAGGAAATAATTTGAGTTATACATCCAACATTAGTGGAAAATGCTTGTTTTAGGTAAATTGTTTTTTAGATTAAGATGAAGAAAGATAGGAAGCCTCAGATACACAAAAATTTAACTTCTCAGGGTATAAACTACTATATTGTTGCAGTTTACTTACCTTTATCACCACCATAATCAACACATGTTTTATGTTTTATGACTTAATGACTTTTAAACACACCTGGGCCACCCGAAAGGGTAGAAAGGTACAGAAACCGACTCTTAATAATACTTCAAAATATTCGTTTTATGAAACTCACGAACGTTATTGTAGAAAAGTCAAATATAATTGCATACTTAAAAATCTAGATGTCTACAGGGTGTCCCTTCTAATAAATAGCCGTTTATACACCAACTTTTATACACAAAAATTGCCAATTTTCTTCATTTAAAAACTTAAAATAACATCATCTTTAAAGAGCTTTAACTCTAAGGATTATATCATATAATCACTTCTATAGTAAACGTGCTTTCAGTATGGAAGATTACTTTCGGGACACCCTGTACATCCATACTGCCCATATTAAATTAGCCCGGCAAAAGTCTAAAGGATAAGCCTTTTCCCACGGTAAAAGTCGTAAACGAAACGTGCTGATGCCTTGATTTGGCGCTTTTAATAACCGGAAAATTTCCCGGACTTCCGATAGACCATCGAGACGAATGAGGCATTTGGATAACAATATTAATATAATACTTACTATTATTTTTAATTTCCATTGTAGTTCTCGTAATAACAATAACAATGGAGGTGCCATGACAAAGGTTTGTTTGGAGAAAACTCTTGTGTTTATCGGTAGTAGTTCGTGACCGAAGAACTATCAGGCAGGGGGTTTGGTTTTATCACTATTTTATAGTTTGATTTATAGGAAATGTAGATTGGTAATATACCTACAGCATTGATATTGTATCCATATCCTGTAGAAGAACAATGGCGCAAGTACAAAATTCAAACAAGCAAGTACAAAATCAAAAAAATCCGTTAAATGTGGCAAATGTGTTAAAAATAATCACTATTTTCACTGGTACAACGGCGCTTTTTTTAGTTTTTTGCACTTGCGTCATTGTTCTTCTAGAGGTGCGATTATAAAGCTGCGCGAAGTAAATGAGGTCGCCCGATTCGATTTCGATAGGATTAATTAATAATAGGTACTAAGATTTATTCTAAAGATTTAACGAAATTCAAAATAAAATCCCTTCTGGGAAATTTCTTTTTGTTTTCTAAAAAATTGCCGAATCGAGTGCACATATTCGTAATAAAATGCTTTCTAATGAAATTCGCCCGTGTTATACAATAAATTATGCGAAACGATTCGAATTCTCGCTAAATTTTGCATTCAAATAAGTGTTTATTGCATAAATACAGGCGATATCTTCAACTCTGAAACGGTTTGTCGCAATATAGCTACATACAGGGTGGCTGAGCAGAAACCTCTGTTAGAATCAGAAATCAGAAAAATTGTAGATGTGAAGAATATAATCACAATTCGAAAAGAAATGAAAAATTGTACCACTTGCTATAGAAAACACAGTTCATTGTGCTTTCATTGGCCGATCGATTTATGCAAATTGGAAGGTTCCTACTGTATTCCCACTGTATGATCTATCATTAACATTTTCTGCCAAGGCAACCTTATAAATAATCCACACAGAATAAGAATTTTCCTAATTAATACATGCAGCAATTACCAGAATTCCAACATGTCCACATAAACACCAATAATACATTGAACAGAGGTTCATAGCGAGACACCTTGTATAAATATTGTATTGTTATGTGTGGTTAGGAACAAACCAGCATACGTAATTGTTTCAGCAATACCGTTTTATAACGTGCTTTAAATTTCACGGATTGTAAGTAAAATCTAGGTAAAGGCGATGAGCCCTGCTCGAAATAACACGAAAAACAGTTTTTTTTTCTCGATTGTTCACAACACGAATGTCATATGTTTTTTTTTTACATTTGGGTGGATTCTTTAATGCTTATTTACAGTGCTTTATTTAAAACGGCGAATGTTTTTTCAACTGTTATTACTAATTAGGCTAAAACCAGGAAAACATAAACTTGCTCACCGTGTGCACTAAATGAGCACTAAAATTATCTCTTGTGGGAATGACGGGTAAATTTCTAAAACGGTTCTTACGGAGTGTTTGTATTTTAATTTATATGCATGCATAGATATTGTTAAATGGGTATACCAAAATTATTGAATTGGCTTTTACAGCAACAACTCTAGCAGCTACATGAATCCTTATTCAGATAGATAATTGGTTCTTTTGGATAGATAAGATATTTTTGGGTCTGTAGTGTGGACTTGTTTTGGGATAATGGAGTCTTTTGGGTAGATAATTGACTCTTTTAAGAACTAATAAGCTAGACTATATACTTTTCAAATAGTTACCCTCTCGAATC